TTGCAAACTCCATCTGATTGCAACACAGAAAACTCCACTTTTCATGAAACAAGCCCAAACGATGATGATATATTAGGCAATAACCACAGTCACTGGGGTGTCCTATGCCAGATAAAGTAGCCTTACAATGGGCAACTGTTTGCGTCCATGGCTAACTGTATGTGGAAATCAAAACGCATCCATTGCCGTGCTTATACATATTAAATGCCACTGAATGAATTTTTAAAGACTGGACTGTCAGCCGAAAGTCTGGGTCTGAACGTGCGAATTGTGGCTGTCAGCGACTAGTCAATGTTAGGGCAGAACGGAGAGTGGCAAGACTGGTACAAGACAACAGAAGGGCTACAGTGCAGTGTCAGATTCCTCGCATCACCTTTCAACATCTCGTGGAGTCACGAGGCGGCCCAACGAAGTCATCTCGTGGAGTCATCTCGTGGCCCAACGAAGTACTGATGGGGTGGTCATAATAATCTGGCCACTAAGTGATATATGTATGTATGTGTATATATATATAATGTATTTATGATCAAGGAAGAAATACAAATGATCCAGTGATCAAACAATTGCAAAAGTGTCTATGAAAATGGCCTACATATAGCACATGCACAATCACAGCATAGCTGTCTGGTGTCAATCATATCTCCTCCAATATTCTAAGGAGCATTAGGGAGTAATGAGAATCCGGTCATACATTGTAGCTCCGTGATTGTTACGGTGGAGTCTGTGTCTGTGACCTGACCGGTTTCTCCCGGTTCACACAGCTAATTAAAGTGAAGATCTGAAATATCTTCACATTATTGTCCTCATGCCCTGTCTCTGGCTAGTAAATACAGGTTTATATAGCTCAATATATACTTCATGTCCTCAAGTAAAACACCGGATCAATAGGTAGTGCAACTGGTTCCATTTAAACCAAAGCTCGGGGTGAGGTGTCCCATAACTGCTCATCTCTGGGGTGTTCTCAATCTTCTTCTAGGCCTCGTCCTTCTGCTCTGGCGTTCTTGTAACATACTGAGACTTTTCCATAGTTCCTCAATAGTGGTTTGGTCCCCTGGTTCCAGGCTTCTACTGGCACTCTGTTCCAGTTGGGACTTCCTAAAGTTCTTTGATCCTTCAAGTATATCTAAAGCCAACCTTTTATTTTGGATACAATACAGTTATAGTTAAAACACCTATTGGGGTTCTCTGCGCCTTTTGGGAGATTTTTCTTTGTTTCCGTCCAGTAGGCACAGCAGGAAGTGAAAGTAACTCTATTCATAGAGAAATATCCACTCTTAGAGTTGTCACTGGAATAAGTGTCCCCGTTTTATGATTTCCCCTCTTTTTCTGTGGTGACAACTCAAAATGTTAAGGGGCTTGCAGTCCCTGGACAAATAGAAAGAAAAGGTGTCCCTTGTGGTGACACGGACAGTTATAAACACCTGACAAGAGTTCTATCCCTCCATTGCTATAACAAAAATTATAGTTTTGGCATTCAGTGCACTTTCAGGACTTTGAAATTGACATTGCATCCCCCCCATTCAGACACTTCCTGTCCTTCTCTGAGGCAATGTACACAGTAAATGAAGATGTCTCTGGAAAATATTGGCTAGTGTTGGTAATTATGTGGAGGTGATTTATCAAATAATTGTAGTAGTGTGTAAGCAAAGCACGGGAGCCTGCGGCAGCCGATATCATTACACATGTAAATTGCATTCATAGTAGATTAATTGGACAGTTCCTGAGACCGCTTACCCCCGACAGTCCCTGCCCTCCCTATAGCACAGCAGCGACTGCTTTATCACACAGTACTAAACATCCATTCCACATGTAGTGGCCTGCTAACATGCTAATACAAAGCTTTGCTGCCAGCATGCGTTTTACTAGTTTTTATAGAAAGCCTCCAAATAAAATGATCATTTTGTTTTGGTTGAAGGCTATACATAGATGCATGGCCATGTAAAAAACTACATTGTAACTCTACCTTCAATTAATTTTTAAGCTGGGAATTACATTTAGGGGATGATTTGTAAACTTTCCACCCAACCTTACGCTGAGTGAATGTCGTTCGCACAGCATTTCCCACAACTAGGTGAAGCAGAGGAGCATAGGAAATTCATAGGAAGAATTTTTAATCGGCCCTTTAAAGTTTGAGGGTAGTATAAAAGCAATACAATGGGGGGAATTTATCAAAACTGGAGCAGTTGCCCGTGGCAACCAATCAGCTTCTCTTTTTCAGTTCATCATGGCTTCACCATCCTTGCCACACCTGCCCATTACAGCCCCATAGACTTCTCCGATCCTCTCTGGCCTTGGGCTCTATAGAAGTCTATGTGGGCTCTAATCTACAGGCACAGCCAGAACAGTGAAGACTTGCACCATTGGATAAAAACAAACGGTCATCGGATCGAGGTAAGTACACATTTGTGGAGGGGCAGAGTGGGTTAGATTAGGTCAGGGCAGAGGGGGCAAAAAGAATAAATGCACTTTGTATTAAAAAACACTGATACTTTAACGCTTTTGCTTCTTATATATGACTTTATATTTGTCTGACACAGTGGCAAGTACAAGATATTGGGGGTGAGGTTGTCACCAGAATAGAAAGGTATAATCAGCAATAAAAACATGACAGCTGTTCTAATTCTCCCCTACTCTATCTAAAACTAAATGAAAAGTTTGGAGTTGGGCTTTACTGCTTTGTCACATAGGACAGTTGCTGGAGCAGTTCACCTTTGACAAATGGATCTCCAGGTTAATATAAAAATCAACATGGTATTAGGAAAGTACAACACATATTCAATAATACTGATCTATTTTCCTTATCCATATATTGACCATTGATCTTAACAGTTTCTTGGTGTTCACTGGATTTCTGGCAGGGGGTCAACAATGTTTGCTGGCCGCTACTGAAATGACTGTAAAATGGTAGCAATGCCTAGTGCTGGCCATCATGAAAATCTCCTCTCCTCTAAGGATAGGCTCGGGCGTGTTCGCAGCTCCACGTGCCGAGCCCGCCAGGAAGCTGACAGCGCCAATCACAGGCACAGAGACATTTCCCGATCTCTGCAGGGAAAATGTCTCAGTACCTGTGAATGGCGCTGCGCGCTGTCAGCTTCCTGGCGGTCTCGGCACATGGAGCTGCGAACACGCCTGAGCCCATCCTTACTCCCCTACTCCTAGGCTATATAGATGATCATGGAAGGGAGAGGAGCTTCCTGCTGTGATGTCATTGCATATTTAGCCCTGGCTCACTGGCCACATAGGAGAGGGCATAATGTGGTCATGTGACTGCAACAAATTAGAATATAATGAAGTATTTATCTGCAGGGGTTTTACTATCCTATAGCAATGCTTAATATTGGAGGATTGAGCATGAGGTTTGCACTATAAGGTGTTGCCCTCCCTCTACGTTAATGGCAGATGGCAGGAAACCAGCAGCAAAGTGTAGGAAGAATCAAAAGCGACATTTTGCCATTAAATTGCCCACTAAAGGCCTCAGTAGGAAAATGTACCGGTAGTGTTTATGGAGTTCCTCTTCTGACCTCTTCCCATGCCAACATATACAGATGCTGCCTATCAGCAATGTTCACATTAATGGACAATCATCCACAACTCATTGCAGGGCAAATTGGCAGGAAAAGGAAGAAGATCACTGGAGGAAATCCACGATGGAGACCTGCAGGCCAATGTAAATACAACAGATGCATGAAACTGAGGGTCATAACAAATCTGTTTTTCTTCTATGAATATGGATGTGAGTTAGCCAATCCTTTATGTCCTGCGGGTTTGGGCCACTTGAAATTCACAGGCCTGTGGCATTTAAATGAGCCTACTGCTGGTTGTAGCTCTCTCATAGATTTCCTTTGATGACCACCTCCTCTGTCCTGCTCATTCATCTGCAACTTATCACATAAGGGAGAAAATATTCATATTTATTTTGCTAAGGACAAATAGACCTACATTAAAATTCAAGTCTATCATTTATATTTTTGCATTGGGTGGATATTCATAAGTTGAAACAACAGCCATTAGCCTATTCAGCTCAAAGATTATTATACAGAGATTCCCGCCAACGTGATCATTGGGAATAATTCTGTGTTTTAACCCACTGGCCTGGTGCTAACCCCCTCCCTTCACAATTTCAGCCATACCTTCTCTTTCATTGTCACTTCGTCATCATCTTTCGAGGGTTGCGACTAGCATCCAATAAAAGAGCACCACGTTTCCTAACTACTCATGCATACATTTCAACTTTCTGAGATGAGTTCAAAATGATTGGGTAAGCCCAGAATTGTTATTTTTCACCATTTTTTCTTAAGCATTAAGATAAAAGTGTTGGGGCAGAAAAACAATTCTGGTAGTTAAATAGAACCTTCAACTCAAAAACAATGGACAAGTGAGGAGGATAGAGGGAGGGACAGAAGGATTTGGTTAAAATGAGGGACAGTTCCTCTAAATCAGGGGTCTAAAACCTCTGGCCCTCCAGCTGTGGTGGAACTACAAATCCTATGAGGCTTTGCAAGATTATCACAGCCACAGACATGACTCCCGAAGAGAGATGCATCATGGGATTTGTAGTTTCACCACAGCTGGGGGGCCGGAGGTTTGAGACCCCTGCTCTAAATGAAGGACATTTGGAAGGTATGCTCATGTCCATGTGACTGGAAGATGGTGATGATGCATCTGATAAAAAGTCATTGGACAGGAAGATACAATGTAATTTTGTTATAGCTACAGATCTTGAGCACTGCATTGTCTCCTTTTGCCTTTTTGTAACCGGTAGCTAGTGGGCAAGACAAAGATAAATATCTAGTCCCATGTTTTACCAGCACACCTGCTTGCATGGTCGCAGCAGCCCCTCGAATGCAGAGTGATTTCTTTTGGGTGGCTTACCCCTTCTAATACCCCCCTGCCCTCCATCACTTATATCCATCCTCCTTCAGTCTCTGTTGTGCCTCCATTCATTATTAAGCCTTTATTTTGAGAGAAAATAAAGGAGTTCCCTATCTGTATCTTCACAGGACTGTTCTAAAGAATAATGACTTAAGATCAAGACAGGAGCTTACCACACACCTCACCAACCAGTGGCCTTCCCCAGGAGCTCCGGACGTTAAAGCTGTGGCCCTGGATACACTGCTGTACCAAAAGCACAATGAACATTGGCATGAGTAAGTTTAATGTCATTATTGTCCAACCAAGTCCTACAGAAATCCCAGTGTAGACACATCTCCATGGATCATGGCTGCGTATTAATGGCGGCCTCCTAAAGAGTTTCTACCCATGAAGCTGTACAGTCATGAACACTATAAATCATTACTAGTACTGAAGTTCCCGATCTCTTTGTTATCTGCTTGTTAAAGGATAGGGCAGGTTCAAAATAAGTTTGCTCCTTGAGTGTGTCCAGGCAGATGTAGCACGTTTTGCAAATAGAACTTTGTTTTCCTTTTTTATATGAGCTGCCATTGGGTTCCAGACAATTTGGGAACCTTATTGTTCACTTTAAGCAAGTTGGTGCAAGTTGTATCAAGCAAGGCACATTACCATAACCAGCTGCACATAGTTCTAAAAGCTTGGTCTCATGGACTATCCTAAGGGAAGGTGGAGTGCCTGCTTTCTGGGGTTTATCTTCTCGGGCTATTGCTTGGGAACGCATGCTTACCTACACACAACAGAAAGCATGTGCTTTATAGATATCATCAGCCAGGTAAGAGGGTGAAGCCTAAACTTTGCTCTAATGGTTTTAGGTAAATAATACCTTTTCTTTTGTTTTTCTTTTCCTTATGAGCATCCCTTGAGATCTAGCCAGTTTATTAACCTTAAATCTTGGTCACATAGACTATCCTAAGGAAGGCGGGGTTCCTGCTTTCTGGGGTTTAGTCTCTACGTATGGCTTGGGAACACATGCAGACACAACATCATGGACTATCCTAATGGAAAGTGGAGTGCCTGCTTTCTGGGGTTTATCTTCTCGGGCTATTGCTTGGGAACGCATCCTTTTCCTTATGAGCTTCCCTTGAGATCCAGCCAGTTTATTTACCTTAAAGCTTAGTCACATGGGTTCTCCTAACTGAGTTTCAATATTTTTATTATTCAATGCTTCACATAAATAATATACAAACAACAACAAAACATTTTTTTAAAAATCCAATTATTCCCCATACAAATGGTCCCAAGGTCATTCCCCATCTACAACATCTACTACCCATGTTTTACATGACTGACTCGTTTATACCCAAATAAGACCTCCAAGGTTCCCAGACTACTTCACAAGTCTCTCTTCTATCTTGTGCTATACTATAAAGTTTCTCATGGATCATAATCCAAGAGACTTTTGTGTAAAAGTTGGAGATGCCTGCGTTCTGAAGTTTCTCTTCTCTTCTCTTCTCTGTGTTTTTACTTGTGAAGACATGCTTACTTACACAAAAGTTAAAGGCATGTGCGTTATAGAAATGATCAACCAGGTACTGAGGGCAGCTTAACCTTTCGTTTAATGGTTTAGGCTAATTTTCTTTTGTTTTCTTTATTAAAAATGTTTTGTATTGTACTAAATATTTAAACTGTATCTCAACCCAAACATAAAAAGTGTTAAATACCGCAGCTTACCTGTCCTTGGATGTGGCAGCTGCATTTGTTTTCTTTTTTCTTAATTTTCACCTGGTAACTCTGCAAATAACACACTGACTGTCTCTAGATGGCTATGCTCACTCATCCACAGTATTTATGGAGAAAGCCATGGTTGTCACATGTCTGCCTTTGTTCATCTCCATGGGGGATTGGTAATTTAAAGAAGGAAGCTGCAGACGGGACATGCAGCTACACATAAACAAAGGGGGGGGGGGGGCATTTTTAAAAACACATCTAGTATGTCTTCACATTACAAT